ACTCATAATCATATTAGTGTAATCACATTACTTTCAGCATCTGCTTTTTATAGTCCCGTTGCCTTATATTATTTGTTTCTGTTGGTAGTAGGGTTTTCCACATTTCTGACAAAGGTGTTGCGTAGTTCCTATTACGCTTGTTAGATGAAGATTCTATGAACAAAGATTCAGCAAGCAATCTCTCTCTCTCTCTAATTATATTAGACTGAGTTAAGTAGAGTGATTTAATCCCACCTTATCGAGTGATTGTATGGTAATGTAAGCATAATTAAACCGAGTGTTTTTCAAGATTATTGATCCTATTCAGGTCTATCATTCTACATTTAACTAAATTCCTATATACCGCTAATCTTACTGAACCTTACTGGCCAGTTCGACCTGTGTACCTCACCTCACAATCATGGAATTGATAGATTAAATTGTTTTGCTAATTTGGTTTAAATACCGGTCTAATTCCAGCCTTGTTGAGAATCCTAAGTAAAGTTTCTGATAATCCTTTTCTACGTGGTAATACAGTGGAGGCTTTAAACTCTGTTCTAGTCATGTTCTTGCCAATACTAGTGCTCTTACTACTGATTTTACTTCGTTTCTTGTGTTTTCACACTAATTTTTAACAAACTGTGAAGGTTAATTATTAACTAATGACGCTTCTGTTATGCGTTTAAATTCCTTGTTTAAGTCCTTACAATGAGTGGTGAGTTGTTTAGCTTTATCATTTAGACATTTGACTAAACCCGCCTTAACTGACATTGGATGAGATGACCTGAAGTACAGATGTCCGTTAGAATGTGTCGGTTTCCTGTAGAGGATTATTATTATTTTTGTTATTATTTGTCACTTGGGTTCCTAGTGGAACATACGGGTTCAGTAGCACGCTTCCATTGCACTCTCTTCTCTGCAGTCTATTCAACCTCTCCACACTGGTTTCAGATTAATGAATGCCTGTCTTGCTGTCTTTTCGATCCTGGTTGGCTTTGACGTTCTTGTGTGTGCCGCTTGTAGTTGAAACAATGCTGTCTAGATAGGTGAAAGAGACAACTTCACTTAGATTTCTCCCGTTGATGGTGATTCATGCTTCTTGTTGTTGTTGGTGGTGTTGGTGGCTTTGCTTGGGTATCTTCATCACCTCCGTCTCTGTCTTCTCTATATTCACTTGAAGTCCCATCTTCCTTCGCTGCCTCGCCTCACCTCGCCTCGCCTCTTCTGTCAACCTGTTGGTTTTGCCTGTAGATCATCGGGTTTGTGCGATATTAAACACTAAACATAAGTCATCGGCTAAATCTAAATATTCTATTTTCTTTTCCTCGATCCAGCTAGTGTATCACCCTCTTCTCGCTCCTCACCGTTTGTTGCATGATCCAGTTGACCACGATCAGGAAGATGATGGATGATAGTGGACAGCCTTGTCTTACTTCTTCCTGTCTTCACTTCAAAGGCATCAGTGAGCTTCGCGTTGTGAATTACTTGGCTGGCATGTGGTGTCTTCATATAGTTGTTGAATGAGATTGATACAGATTTGTGGTATTCCGTGGTGTTGAAGCAACTGCCTGGTGAATTACTTGTGGGTCGACGCTGTCAAAGGGCTTTTCAAAGTGGATGAAGTTGAGGTTGAGGTTGAGGTGGAGAGAGAGAGAGAGAGAGAGAGAGAGAGAGAGTTGACTGTCATTTTATGCTGTGTTGTATGATGATGCGTAGCGTTTCAATGTGATGCGCTCATGAATTGTACTTCCTGAAGCCAGCCAGCCAGCTAGCCAGCCAGCCAGTCATGCTGTTTTGGTCGAAATTTAGAACCAGCGCATCTTTTAGTCACTCCAGGATGATGCAGCGTAAAATTTTTCTGTTGTTGGGTGGACAGCAGCATGGTTCCGCTTCAGTTCTTGTTCTTTCAAAAACTTCGGTAGCCTTTCTTTCAATCAACCAGCAGCTAATTTTCCTTCCTTCCCAACCTTCTGCAGTAGTAGTGTGAGCATGGCGGCTGTTGCCTCTGAGTCTGTTTTCAGTGCTTCTGGCGGAATCCCATCTAGTTCTGCTGCTTTCCTGGATTTTAGCAACTTTATGGCATTCACGACTTTGTCTTTTGTCGGAGGGCTTGTGTTCACTGGTAGTTCTTTGGCTGCTGATGGTAGTATTTTTGAACGAACTGTTTGTGTTGACGGTGGTCGATTCAAGAGTTCTTGAAGTCGTCAGCCCATTGTTTTCTTTGTTTCTCCTCTTTGCTAACTAGGTTTCCTTCGCAATTTTTCATTGCTTTCATCTGCATTGACTTCTTCCCTCCCAGATAGTAACCTGGTTACTTGATAAAATGTTGTCAGTTCTCTCCTACCTTCAGCCTGTTTTTCTTCATTTGCAAGTGTGTTGAAGAAGTGTATTTCGTCTTTGCACGCACTCCTCTTCTCTTTTTTGTCCAGTGTAGTGTTTTGTCGGTTGTGTTTAGTTCCTCTTTTTGTTGTTCATCCTTGCACTGCACTGCACTGGTTGATCTTCTGCTTCATCATCTTCCTCTCGCTCCTCCATCAGTTTCCACCTTTCCATCGAGATCCATTCCTTGTCTTGCTTTCTCTCTTCTTTCTTCCTAACACGGTTGTGTAGGTTTTTTTCTTCACAGCTTTCGAAGAGTTCTAGTGTTCTTCCACACAAGTTTCTTCAGGGATGCTGCTCAATACCTCCCATTTTGTCCTGATGACTGACTGACATGAAGATGTTGTTTGTAGTTTCACCCTTCAGTTTCTGTTCTGGGTGTTGAACTTGAACTATGTCATTGTCCGTTCTATGATTTTTGTCATCATCATATGGTGTCTAACTTTACTTATGGGGTATATTTTTTTGGAAATCATATATATATATATATATATATATATATATATATATATATATATATGAACGTACAGGTTGAAAATGAATTTGTTGATAAGAGTCTGTCCACTGAATATCCTTTTCTTCAAAAATCTCACAGTAGTGATTTTATCAAACAGGTAGTAGCGTGCATCCCAGGTAGGATCGTTATAATGGACTAATAAAATATCACTACAGTATATTTATTGATTACCACCACAAATTCTTTATTTTTATTGGTGGTAGAATTTCTCACATCTCTGGTGTCTGTGTTACGTCACTCCTACTACATCTATTTGGTGTAAGTTCGACTGACAGAGACACAGTAATCAACTCCTGTCTGTCTCTTTGTTTCTCTCCATCCAATTATATTTGACTTAAGTACAGTGATTTAATCGCACGCTATCTTGTGGTTGTGTAGTACCGCAGGCATCGGGATAGGCAAGTTTCTTCTTGATTGTTGATTTAACTGGGGTCTGTCATTCTACATGTAGTTAAATCCCTATGTCCTGATAATCTAACTAACCCCATTTGGCTAGTTTAACCAATGTACTTGACCTCATAGTGATTACATGGAATTTGGTAGGTTAGATTAGTATGCACGATTGGATCTATCAGGTCCCTAATCCAAACACCATGGTTATCTCTGAGTGTTCATAGGTTTAAATGCCTCTCTGATTCCAACCTTGTTGAGAATCCTACTGAAAGTTTCTGATGTTCCTTCCTTATGTGATAACATAATAGAGGCTTTGAACTTATTTCTACTTCTGTTGTCACTATTATTCGTTTTCGTACTACTGTCGTTATTTCGTTTCTTATTTGCTTGTGTGAATTTTTTAGTTAACTGTAGAGGATAATTGTTAATTATTAACGCTTCTTTAATGTGTTTCAGTTCCTTGTTTAAGTCCTTGCACTGACTAGTTAGTTTTGTAGCTCTGTTATATTTACACACAACCAACCTTAAATGTCATTGGATGAGATGACCTGAAGTTTAGATGCCTAACAGAATATGCCGGTTTTCTGTACACCGTAGTACCTAAGCTACCATCTATCTTTCGTTTTACTCTGCAATCCAACGTAGCTATTTCTCATTGTTCATTTTCTACCTAGTAAGTGAATTGGATCGCGCTTACATTTTCTGACTTCTTATACAATTTTAACAGTATTTTAACTTGAATGTATAAATTCAGTGACATCATCGTAGTGTTAATGCATGCTTAAATATATCAGCAGTGATTCACATCACCTGTTCTAAAGAAACACTGTAGGTGAATGAGAGATCTAGTTCTGATTTGCATTGATAGCCTTAAAGAATATTTGTCAGTTGTGATTACTGTGAATGAGTTGTTTGCTTTCAATAAAGATCTGAACTATAAAAGACTGTAAAAAAGGTTTCTGTCAGTAAATGTTTTTAACTTTCAAAAGATGCTTTAAGCAATGGTTAGGTGTCCTTCAAGTTATGAAACTTATAGATATCATCAGTGTGAACTTTTTACAGTGCACACCATATCAAATTTCGATTATTCTCATCCTCAGTAACAAATCTTCTCCACCATTTTAGGCATTTATATACATTAGAATTTCTGTGAACTCATGCTTAGAATTATTTCCAGTTCTTGAAATCATCATATAACATAAAATATTTCAAGCTTTTTCTCACACTTCTGGGTATAATATACTGGATCTGCGTGCATCAGTGTGTTTTATTACCACCACGTTTTTGATTTGGTATAATTATTCAGTAAGTCCAGTTTAGAACTTTGCTCAAATTATCCCTTCAAAATATTCTTTATAGTTACTACTATGCACAATGTCTTCTACCATTGTAAGACTTAGCAGAATCGGCGATGAATGAGGTGCATTTTTTATTTAGTGAGTAGCTGATTCCTGTTACTCAGGCTTTTTTCTCTACTTGAATCATCAACCAATATAAATAATACCAATCTACTAAATGATATCTACCTGAGTCCTATCAACATGCATGATGCTATGGCATCAGTAATGGTTTCATTCCGTAAAGTCAAATCCTTGTATTTATTGTAAATAGATAGGCGTATGACAATGAATTAGAGAAGTGAGTCGGTTATCTGTGGCACTCACTATTTAGCATAACCTAGTATATGTATTTTCTAAGAAACGACTGCAGAATTCACAGTGTTAAGCCATTATGTGTTCACTTGAAGTGAGAAGGTTTAATCTACACTGTATTTATAAGTTAAATTTGTTTACCGTTCAATAGATTATCCAGTTTAAATTTTTGTTTTGACTATGTGATAAATATCAGAAGGCTTACGAAAACCTAAAGAAAAAGTATCCTTTGATCAAAAACACCATTTATTCACTCAACATTTAACAAATTACAAAACATATTCTGGTGGAGTCTTACAAAATATCATTCCTTTAGAATGATAAATCATACATTATAATTTCAGTACAACTGTATCCTAAACAGTATGTGTACGAGTTAAGCTATTATTTTTTTGTTCAGTCTTATTAATCATACTTCTTTAACCAGATTTGAATAGTAGAAAAGCTCGATCTTGAAGATAGAAATAAATGAAGTGTTGTGTTTCATGCGTTACATAACTGAAATTTAAAAGAAACACCAAAAATTAAATTTAAACAAAGTATTTAAAGAATAAATTAATTAATTGTTGATCTACTTGAAACATTGAACACTGTCAATTATTCGAATGGTAGACAATTATGCAGAACTGAAGAGGGCATATTTTTAAGGGGAGATTATTTATTCCTACTGTACCAACTCACTGTGAGTTGATAAGTGAACTGACTCTCTATTTAGAAATTCAGTTAGATAAAATTATGTAATTGATATATTACTAATGGTAAATAAGTAAGGTACAGAAACGCTTAGTTATATACAAAAAAGTAAGTATATAAAGAAATATACTTTATAAGCTTACCTGCCAAAATGTTTTCCAACTATACAATGCCAATTTGGATTATATTTACGATCAAATTCTTTCTTGATAAATGCAGCAATATCTTTTTCAATATCATATTTATCAAGTGCAGCTGCAGCTGTATGAACTGAAACCTCTTGCATATCTTCATGCATATCAGCATTCTTAATTACAGCTTTACGTTCACCCATTTTTTTTTCTTCTTTTAATCTACAGTTTAGAATTGATTCATTATAAACAGTACATTTATACTATTAGAAATTATACTTGCTCAAAATTCTTATTCGTAGATACAATTTTAGTAGATTGGCTTCAACTCACCTGACTATATTGAAAAGATAGAAGAAATACAATAAAATTTTACATATCATCCGAGTAAATTATGTATTCTATTGACAAGTAAGTTAAGTGACACAAATACTGGTTGTATTGTATTGTATTATCATACAAACAATTTAAGAATTTCATGTACTTGTGTATGCTTGAGAAATAAACAACTTTCCGTGAATGAATTCATATACTATACTATCATTTATTTGCCCTTTATGTCTGTCGATTTCATTGTTTATGTTTACTTATGAATAATATGTTTAGAGGGTTGTAGATGTGCTCATTTTCAATGTATATGTAAACTTGAAATCTGTTATAACTCAGTAATAAGGGTGGTTACTTACATGGCCTATTCATATTGCTTTCATCTAATAAGTTTATACTAATCTTTTATGGATGTATTGAATACTTTATAAAATATAACACTCATTTAAAGTAATTCAATCTGAAAGTTGTTTGTCTACAGTTTTGACCTTGTAACATCACTTGTACATTAGTAATGTATTGAGTTATGTGAATTATTTGTTTAATGTATTTACTTGTAATCTATTCAACTATTCATATGAAAAATATTTTATATCAGTCTTGTTTTTTAATGAAAGAAAAACGTAAATTATGTTGATAGTAATAAGTTTTTATTAAAATTAGATTTAAAATTCTTTGAAAACAATATCAATATGATCACTGATAGTAAAATGGTACAGAAAGAAATTTTCAATGAAGTGTTGATTTTAACTTTAAACCAACTACTTAAATGTGTACATATTTCAATGACTTTTCATATATAATTTTGTAGACTGATACATGATAGTTCCCATTGAGTTGACTACACATTACTTCCTAACATTGAATGGCTGGTTTGCATTGCTATGTAGTTTGTAGTCAATAACGGTCTTAGTGTATGTACCATTAGTGTTGATAGATGATTGCGAGCGATAGAATACATCCCATTTAAGACTAATCAACTGGATGTACATTCTTTCCAATGAGTGATACTTTTCCTATTGTGATTCGAGCTCAATACCCTTGAATTCAGATACCACAACTTTATCCACTAGTACTAGTAATAATGGCTTTATTCTGAAAGATATTTCGAGAATACTCTATAGAATTTTCAGTGCACTAATTGGATAGAGATAGTGTGTATGTAAACATAGCAAAATGAAATAAGTAGAAACTACATGAAGAAAAGATGAAAATATTCGCTTTATCTACAACTTTCTTCAAAATGCACAGTCAGTTTAGGTAGATTCATAATACGTAAAAGGTAACACGCACATCTTCAAATAGTTTGCTTTCAAAAATAGAAGTTGATTAGTTAATTCATTTCTAATACTTTCTTAATCACGCACCTAACGAGCTCAGTACAGTATCATAGAGTTTTTATATTTTGTAGTACGTGCATAGACTCATGTGTACTTGTTCCTCGTCTTTCTAAATGACCGACATGCAGAGAGCTTTGAGTGAAGAGGACGTTGGTCATTTGATGAAATAACTCCTACCAGATATTTACATGAGTTAATATGTTTATCCACAACAGTTTCAACTAGAAGGTTTAGAGTTATACCAGTAGTTCTCCTGACAATCTTCAAAGTTCTACGCAATATACCACAGTTTTTTTCAGCAACCCGGGAAAAAATAAAGTGGAGCAATAGAGGAGGACAGGCAATATGCAGGAGTTTATAAAACAAAACAGGGGAGGTCGAATAATACCAGATACTCTCAGCTTCATAATCTAGAAAGTTAGGCGGAAGATATTTTTGGAAATCAGTAAGATATAGGAGGACCAGGAAGGGTCCGAGGAAAAACAGAGATAAACCACACTTGTAACATTCTCTAATGCAAAACTATCAACAGAACAGTAATCACGAGAACTAAGCAGTTTACACAGGTTTTCACGTCTGAATCTAAAGTTTATGGTCTGATATTTTGAAGAATTAAGCATGAGGTCATTCATGGCGAATCGTCGTCTAACAGTAGATGGAAAATCATTCAATTGGGAACAATCTGCTGAAGAGGAGATATGTATAGAAACTGTTAGGTTATCGGCATATTTAATGAAATTGACACCAGCTGAAGATGGTAGGTCAAGCAGAAAGAATGCCTACCTGGGGAACTTTAGTCACACTAAACAATGAGGTGGAGCGCTTTCCCCTATGAACAGTGTGCGGTTTCCGTTCAGAGACGTAGGACTGCAGCCAGCTGATTATCTCAGTTAGCTTGTCCAGCAAAACAGCTCTTGGCACAGCATCAGATGCCGGATTATAGTCCAAAAAGGCGCATCTGACATACTTGGCATTTTTATCAAGACTATAAGCAATATCGTGATATAAGGGAGTGGTGGCATTCAAAGTGCTTCTTCTGTTTTTATATGCAAACTGATTACGGCTACCGAGTCACGATACTCACTGCTTATGCAACAGGTATCGTTTTATGTTACAGGTTTCAGCAATGATTAATTCGGTTCAGTCTAAAATGGTAAATTTTATGCTTTAACATAATGTATGTTTACATTTAGAACAGGTTACTGAAAAATATCACTTTGCGTAGCGCAGAAACTATATACTTATTCCAGACGGTTTAGTTTGTTTACTTGATTATAGTGAGGATTACATTATTATTGTATCATGAGGATAATTGACGTGAACATCTGCAATTTTAAACCACAGTACTATAATTCTCTAAAGTAATACATTGCGTCAACAAATACTTTGGCCTTTATAATCAAGTAATAGTAAACTGTTGCAAAATGGACTGATGGCGCAGATAAATATATCTTTCACTGTTTCAAAACTGAAATTAGCCTTCATCTCTACTTAATTAGCTTTGGCAAAATTAAACGATCAGTGTCAGACATGACGAACTGTACATCTTCTTGAATGCATCGAGGCTGTACAAATCAAACGTTCTTACAAGTCGTACACTTTTGTTTATATGTCATAATGTTTTCTTTAATAAGCGAGTGAAGTAATATGGCTTATGATATTGTAAGTTGTGGTAAATGTCTTTAAATATCACAAGGCATATGCTTCAAACAGGAGGTTTACTTCTGAATTGCCTATAGAATATTTTCAATGCTTAAGAATGCCACAGTGTCTTCAAGAACAAGCATTCAGCTATCTAAATAATGTCTTAAAGATTTGTTAGGTTTGCAAACTGTCTCTGAATCCATCATGTATAACTGGTTAACATCTGTTTTTTAGAAAATCGTTATTCATGTACATGTTGGTTCTTTTATTGAAACTATAACCTTACAACTTTATTTCTGGAGCTTCTACTTTAGTTTTCACACAAAATCTCTTTGGTAGCTCAGTGGTTCTTATAGATCAAAGGGTAAAATAACACGATTGTCAACAGAGTATTCTTCTGAGTACATTAGGATCAAGTAATTATTTCTGATTACATTTTAAAAGCCTTGATTTTATTATTTATTTATCCCTTGGGTTCTTAATGGAACATAGGGATTCAGTAGAACGTCTCCAATTCACCCTGTTCTCTGCAGTCATTTCAACCTAGTTCCACGACAGACCAGAAGCTCTCATTTCCTCCTCACACGATCTCCTCCATGTCACTCTCAACTCGGACACCCAACTCATCGATTCCCATCGGGGTTCCACTTGAGGGCCTGATGCGTGATGTCACCAGTTGGTCCTCTCAGCACATGCCCAATACAATCCATCTCCACTTACTTACAGTGCATATTTGTTGGGTGATAATTTCTTGCCCCGTTGGTTCGTTGCCAGCCAGCCACAGTTTCATGTTACTCACTCTTTCTGGCCATCTGATCTTCAGTATCGAGTCAGTGCAGGCAGATGTTGATGAATGTCTGTAGTTTGTTGGAAATCCCTTTCGTAACGCGCAAAGTCTCTCAACCATCACACAGAAGCACTGAATTGACTGAATTAGTGTTGAAAATCCGCATCTTGTTATTTGTGCTGAGTGCAGTGCAGTGCAGTGCAGTGCAGTAGATCTGCACACTGGTTTCAGGTTAATCAACGCCTGTCTTGCTGTGTTTCCGATTGTGAACTTGACATCCTCGTCTGTGCCTGTGCCACCTGTAGTTGAAACGATGCTGCCTAGGTGGTGTGTGAAAGAGGCCACTTCCTTTAAGTTTCCCCCGTTCATGATGATTGGAGTTTGTTGTTGTTGGTGTTGGTGTTGTGGTGGTGGTGGTGGTTTTGGTTGGGTATCTTCATCACCTCTGTCTCTGTCTTCTCTACATTCACTTGAAGTCTCGTCTTCCTTCGCTGTCCTGCCTCGCCTCACCTCACCTCACCTCACCTCACCTCTTCTGTCAACTTGTTAGTTTTCACCTGTAGATCTTCAAGTTTGTGTGACAGGATATTAGACACAAGTGATCGGTGAAATCCAAATCTTCTTCTGTAATCTTTTGTGCTGTCCAGCGTATGCCCTTCTTCTCGCTACTCACTGTTTGCTAATTCGCTAATATTTTATCGGTACAAATGTTTAGCTGCACAAAACAACCTTCAATGAATGGTGAATTGTCTTTGTAATCATGAAGACTGTGAAAATAATATATTACACTTCTGCTGCCAAATATAACCGTTCAATTTGTAACTACTTGTAAAATATAAAATATACTATATGTTGTGAACAAAGAATCTTTAGACAACTATGTCAAGTGAATTTACACTACTCACAAGTAAATAAATTAGTTTTTGAAAATATATAGCTACACCGTAAAAAGTACATCATGATTACCATATGCTATCTACTCTAAGGTTAAAAGTAAGATTACGATGCCAAACGAACAATATGTTCTTCATCTGGTGGTCTGAGTTCGAGAGACGTGAAGTTTGAAGAGCATAGGTATGTTAATTGATAAAATCTTGCTAAATTTTTAACAGGAAACAAACACTTTGGTCGCAGTATACCCGGATATTTCTTACGGTTGTGAACAGGTTGTCGAAAAATGAGCAGTTAAATGCTACTGCTTGA